CGAGAAATATTTGAAAATGAATGTGAGGATGGATAAAAGAAAATACAAATAAATAAAACAATATTACAGGCAAGACATGAATATTATAATGGTGGTTAAATGTTAATCATCTAGAAATTTTCCTATATAAATGAAGATGTATATTATCATTGAAATAAGATTACATTGTATAACTATTACAAAAATGTGCTTAAAGACTACATTTTATTAAACTATAATTCATATAAAATATATACTTTATAGTGTACTATTTAAAAATAGTTGACATATTGAAACCTATGTATTATATTAAACATCACCATCATCTAACCCCAGATTCAGCATCACTCTATGAAAAGCTCCCTCCCCTTAGCAGTCATCCTCATGCCCCATCCGTTTTCTTTCACCCTGTCCTTACAACCAATAGGTGTAGATATACATCTACACTGCAGCATGTTCTTGTGACTCAATTGTATTCCGTAGTTTGGACTGTGTACCTTTCATTGATTCATTCCTTTGTTGACACACTTTAAGCTTTCCTTTTGGCTGTTGTGAATAACACTGCTATTTAAGTTCGAGTTTTTGTATGGCCTGTGTTTTCAATGCTCTTGCTGTATTTCTAGGACTGGAATTGCTGAGTGACATTATAAACTATGTTTACCTTTTAGTGAAACTGACACTTTCTTACAGCACCTATAACAGTCACATAACCTATGTTTCCATCATGTCTACATCTCCATGTTAGTGCACAGAGATGCCTATCACTATCTTAAGTGAATATGCTGCATTTCCTTAGCCAGCTGAGCCAGACTGCATTCAAGTAAATTCCTATTGTAGGACATTTAGTGATAATATTAAGGAAGATTTTAGCAGCTTCCTTGTGTCCCAAGTAGGGGATGTATTTGTGATGCCTCTAGAACGGCTTTGTTGTTATTCAGGATTTCTTTGACTATTTGGGTCTTTTGTTTATCGATATTAATTTTATGACAATACTGTCTATTTCTGTGAAGAATGTCATTGGAACTTTGATGGAGGTTACATTGAATATATACTATTTTAGGTAATACAACTATTTTCATAATATTGATTCTGCCAATCCATGATCATGGGAGGTATTTTTATCTTCTGGTGTCTTCAAATTCATTCTTCGGTGTCTTAAGGTTTTTCTAGGAAAGGTCTTCTTGCCTCCTTGATTCAGTTTACTCCTAGGTTGTAGGGTGTTTTTAAACTATTGGGAGTGGGATATTTTTCCTGATTCTTGTTCAACAAGCTCATTATTGATATATAGAAGTCACTGGTTTGTGTATGCATGTTTCCTCTTCTACAGTTTTGCTGAAAGTATTTGTCAGACCTAAACATTTTCTCATGGAACTTTTAGGGTCTTTTGAAAATAGAAGCCTGTCATTTGCAAATATGATAATTTTACTTCTTCCTTTCAAATTCATATCCTTTTTAGGTATTTCTCACCTTACTGCTTTTTGTAAGACGTCCAGCACTGTATCAAATAAGAGTAAAAAGTTATCACTTTTAACAAATGTGTTTTCTGTATCTATTGAGATTCTATCATCTATCAAAGATCAGGTGAATTCTGTCCCTCAGTCTATTTAGAGCATGTTATTGATGTCCCTGTGTTGAACCATCTTTTTTGTCTCTGACATGAGACTCATGCTTAACCTTAATGTGTTCTTGAACACAGTTTTAAAATAGTTTGTTGAGAATTTTTGTATCTGTGCTCATTAAGGAGAGTGGCCTATCGTTTTCTTTTTTAATATTTTATTTATTGTCTTTATGAGCATATTGCCTGCATGTGTGAATGCACCTGTATTGTGCAGTGCCTGTGGAGGTCAAAAGAGAGCACTGGAGTCTCTGGAACTGGAGTTATGGATGGTTGTTAGCTGCCATGTAGGTGCTGGCAGTTGAACCCAGGTCCTTGCAAAAGCAGCCAGTGATCTTAACCTCGGAGCCATCTCTCCAGCCCCTATAGTTTTCTTTTGTTATTGTATCCTTATGTGGTTTTGGTGTCAAGGTAATATGACTTCATAGAATGAGTTTGTGATAGTGTGCCTTCCCTTTCTATTTTGTGGAACATAAGTAAATAAACGACAATGGATATGGGTGAAGTTGTTTAGAAGGACAAGCCATTATTCACTTTTAGTGGGACTGTAAACAGATGCAGCCACTGTGGAAATGAGTATGGATGTTTCTCAAATTTCTAAAACTACAACTATATGACCTAGGTATTCCACACCTGGGTTAAGTATTCCATGCCTGGGTATATGCCCAAAGGGCCTACGTCCTACCAAGGAGATACTTGCAAACTGTGTTTGTGACTCCACTATTCATAAGAGCTAAGAAATGAGCCAGTCTAGGCAGATATCAGTAGATGAATGGATAAAGAAAATGTGGTACATACATACAATGCAATTTTATTCAGCTATATAGGAATATGAAATCTTGATATTTTCAATAACAATGGATGGAAGAAGAGATCATCATGTTAAATAAAATAAACCAGACTCAGAAAGACAACTACTACTTTTTCTGACATACATGAATTCTAGAATTTAATGATTATTTACGTGCATATACATGGGCGTTGATCATGAAACTAGGAAAGAGATCATGAGTGAAGAAGAAAAGGGGGGTGAGGGATGAAATAAGCGGAAAAAAGAAAAGGTGGGCTTTTGGTGGGGAGAGGACAAGCTGATGGGGCAGAGGGATGGAGGAGAAGAGTGGTGAAGGGGAACAACGGCAAGAAATTCTGTATGAAATGCTATTTAAAAGCCCAATACTGTGTAGCATAACTTAATAAAAAAGTATTAAAACAAAAGGAATATAGTTCACCTACGTTAAGACTATCCTGTCCCCAAGTCACTCTTCTGAAAGGTAGTGTGTTTTCTGACCACGGTAATGCATGACAGAGGCTAGGCTGTTTGACCTCAATGTTGACAAAGCTAATTAAGGCAGAAAAGGAACTTAAGAATTTCTACCAAACATGAGAGTCTAAAACTCTAGGAAATACCAACTAGGTGAGGCTGGAGGCTTGCCCTAATCTCCATGATGTGAATCTGTGAATCTGTGAGGAGTTCTAAAATCGTCTAGATTTTTGTGAGGACCCCAAAATAAAGCTTTGCCCTGCTTCAAAGTATCTGCAGGCTAGCACCTGCATTCAGAAAGTTAACAGAGCACTAAGGCTGCTGTGCTAGGGGAAGAAATGCTTACATAAGAAGTTGTTTGACTAGTTTGTGGCCACCTGTAATCTAAGTGTAGAGTCCGAGAATGTTCAGATAAAGCAGGGTAAACTCTGGGTAGAGGTGGCTTATGAAATCCCCTGGGACGCCTTGAGACCTCTTTGGAACAGAGAGAGTATTATGGTCTTCTGAGATTATATAGTTGACCGGGACAGATTTGCAGACTTTCTCCAAAACTGGAGCAGAATCAGTGTGTTCCCTTTGTTGCAGACTGGAGATTTCACTGGCTCCCAAGGCTCTATCCATGCACCATGTGCCTCTGTGCTCTGATCCTGGTGTCTCTTGCAAGTTACACAGCTCAGGGTGAGTCTTTTGAAATATAAATAGTGGGCATTGGGGGGCACATTTTAAAAACCATGTGTCTGGTTGGCAGAGATGTGCATAGGGTAAAGCTGTGGCAGTTTTAGTTCTGGAGCAATGTTCCTTCTCTAGACATGGGTATGGGTATGTCGGGAGAAGAGGAAGATAAACACTTGGAGATCCAGGATCACGTGGCAGATGCCAAAGGGCACTCACTAACCCCGTGTGTGACACAAGAGGATCAAAGAAGCTGTTTATTTTCTCCTTAATTATTAGTCCATTTTTACCAGATCATGGAAAGAAAGTGAGCAGAATATTAAAATCACTAACTGATTCTGAGCCTCAGCTCAATACTTCTAAACCAATTTCCCCAGGCAAAGTACTGAATTTGATGTACTTGGATAATCTCATCTCTAAAATAGTGGAGGTGCTAGAACCTTCTTCACTGGGTTCCTGTAAGGATGAAGTGGGCTGTAATTTCTACAACACTTGGAGTGGTACCTGGTCTAGTAAAGGTGTTAGAAAGGAAAAAAAATCAATGATGGGATTGTTTTTAAATGAAGTGTATTGAGGCTGGGAAGGTGACTCAGTGGGTAAAGCACTTGCTGTGTGAGCGTGGGAACCTGAGTCTGAATCCCCAGAATTCAAGTAAATTCAGTGATATTATCCCAATGATCCTATGGTAAGATGGGAAGTGGAGACAAGAAAAGCCCCAGAAGCTAGTGGGCCGGCTAGCCTGGTATACACAGTGGCAAACAACAAAAGGCTCATGTTCCAAACATGGTGGAGGATGAGGAACATCTGAGGTGTTCTTCTGACTTCCACAGATGCACTCCTGTATGTCCGTGCCTTCACTCACATACATGAATGTATACACAGAGATACATGTACACATATCATACATACATACATACATATGTACGTACATACCAAAACAAAATAAAATGGAGTACATTAATAGAAAATTGGAGGTGTAATCAAGTCAGCACATCAGAGCTGAGGGTCATTGAAAAATCTCTGCTACTCTTGATTTCAGAGGAAGAATTCCTCACTGGGGTGGGGGTGTGGCTAAAGGAAAAGCACTAGGTTCAGATAGGAGGCAGAAGGATGCATAAGGGAGAAACAGGTGCTTCTTTTGGGTGTCTTCTGAAGGGACAGATGAAGCAGTATACACAGTAGTAGGATTGATTTGAATCATTTCAAGGGATTCTTGGTTGCAAGGGCTATCCTACTCATTGGTACATGGTTCTATGTGACCAGGGCAGGTAGATGGTGACCTAGGGTGTGAGACCTATTAAAAGAGGTGGTTGGAATGGAGATTTACTTTTGGGGTGGGGACCTCTAGGAGTGGTAGTTCTTGTAGAGTCATGAAAGTCTCATGTGTCAAAGCATTAGATGCACAAATTCATGATTAATATAACATTGTGCATTGGATCTCAACATTTATTTGTGCTATCTTTCCAATTAATTGGGAAACTGAGATAAGAAGGGGCATGTATTCTCCCAATATCATGCAGAAAGTCATGCATTAGTTGATATGTGGCTCCTGTATCCAGAGCCAGTGTTTGGCTACCAGAACCCTGATGACCTAGACCATGTTTAATTTTAACTTCTCTCTGTCCTTGTGACACGGTGAGAGGCTAGGAACTTAGAATAAAACAAAATAAGGAAGGACCCATGTTTAGATTGGAACCTCCTTTCCTACTGATTACCCCACTTCCATTTTGGGAAATCCATACAAGCTGTTTCCTAATTGTTGTTGCTCCTCTGCTAAGTGGCCTATTTATAACTGCCTAGTAACATTTCTCTGAGAAATAATTTAAAGGAACTGGCATGTATATCCAGCACACAGTGATTGCTCAAGATATCAGTATGTGCATTGCATATAATGTAAGCAGTAGCTACAGTGAGTTACCTTATTGCTCTGCTCTTTTTCTGAATTTTTATTGAATTTTTGCAATTTTCTTACAATATAGTTTGATAGCATTTAGATCCATTGTCTTCTCTGCACCTCCCCCCACTGCTCCCACCCAGTTTAATGAAATCTCATGTGTGTGTGTGTGTGTGTGTGTGTGTGTGTGTGTGTGTATGGCCTATAGAGTATGATTTGTGCCCCCAATGTCCTTCAGTGTGAATCCATCCACTGGGCCCACCAAGCATCCAACCCTGTAAGACACTCTCTCCCCCTCCCAGCAGCCATCAATTGCCAAAAGTTCCTTAGGTTAGGTTGGGATTTCTTACCCACTTCCCCATGTCTAAATTAGGATTTTGTCTGTCTTGAGCTTCACTCTAATGTTAACCAAGTACTTTATGCTGAGAATCCTTCTAAGCTGATGTTTCTACCCACTTCATCTTGGTGGAAGGTTAGTAATGATCTAAGGCAGGCCGCACCTAAAGATTTCACTTCAGACTTTCCCCTCTTCACCTCTTTGAAGCACTCCGCATTATTACTAAAGTTGTCCTTCCTTTCTCCCTACACTCCGTGGTGCTGTATGCTGCTACCACTGTGGTAGGTCTTCCAATACCCAGCTGTAGCTGTCTCTGTTTCTTCTATTTCAGTCTTTCTGTCACTTCACAATGGCCCCTGTAGAGAAGTCATACACACACACACACACACACATACACACACACACACACACACACAACTCTGCTGTATCCCTCTCACCTTTAAGTGGATGACTGCCTGCCCCTGACTGAATTCTGGGGCTGAAATGCTCATGTCTTGTGTTGTCATCTCAGGATATCTCACTGGCCTCCCAACAGCAGCGGCCTCACATGGAGCCAGCATCTGAAACCTGAGTTGTGTTTACTTCCTTTCCCCTGGTCTCTATATCTGGCCAGGGATCAGGTTCTCTTTCTCATTTATATACCCATATTTACTAATGCAAATTTCTCCTAATTATAGAAAGTCGTCAGTTTTCAGTCCATGTCTGGAAAAGAAAAAAGAAAAAAAGCAACTTTCAATGTCCTTGTCCACAGACACCCATGGCTTCCCAGAAAGTTCTCCTCTAATGATTTGGTAACACTTAACAACCAGGAAAGGAAAGAAACATCACATTTGGCTTAATCACATGAGGCACAGCTTTGCAACTGCTTTCCATAAACAACCTCCAGCCTTAGTGGCTATTCCTCTCTATTAAAAATATGCTTTTAGACAGGGCTGTGTCCTGATAATCTAATAATCTTAAAGTAAAAACATCATAATTCAAATTCTATTAAGTCAAACATAAGTTGAGGATAATATGTAGATGTTTCCCAAATAAATTCGTGTTTTATCATAATTAGCAAAAAACAGCCAAAAATAAGCTGAACTTCAATAGTATTTAACTAGTTATTAATACCATGTGATCCAGACACTAAAACCTGTTTTCTCATGAGTTTCTAATAAAATGGCTATTTTTCTTCCAGAAAAAAAATGGAGAATAATTTTTCTATTCTGAACATATATCCTGAAGGAAATATTGGCATATTATCTGTATCCAAAAAGGAGCAATTGGAAGAATGAGACGAAATAAATTGTTACCTGTAAGGGGTGCTCTGATACATTGGGGCTGTCTACCAAACAAGTAAAGACACGCAGTAGTCATGATAAAGTATATAGAAGTCCCGCTGCCTCTTGAAGGAGGGTCAGATTCCCTCAGGTCCTACAGCAGACAGAGCAGGACAGGTAAGAAGCAGCAGGCGGACAACGAAGGACCACCCACTCTGCAGCATGGAGCTAAGGGACAGACAGAGGCTCTACTCAGGAGGACCCAGCTCAGAACCAATGGAGGATTATGCTAGAACTTAATTGTGCCCTTTGCTCCAAAACTGCTCATGCTGCTAATTTGTCCACTGCATAAGACCCAGTCCTGGAGTTTCCACCCTCCTTCACAGGCATCCGCACGTTCCAGGATTGCCTTGACCTCCCTAAAGCCCCGTATTGGTGGTCTTCATTCATAGGCTGCCCACTGTCCCAGCCAGACCTTGTCTTTTTACTTCATCTGAAATGCCTGCTTTACTTAGTCTTGCTTCATCTCCCCCAACCTCCATCTTGTCTTACTCCTCCACAAGCCACAGTTACCTCTTTGAGACACAGATCAGAAGTACTCACTCCTGATTCCTGTAGCACCTTGCTGGTCCCTCTCCCAATACGTATCGTCTTTCATCTTAGCCCTAGATCAAGTGTGTCTGTGGTCCTTCCTTACACGGTCAGCTGTGCTGAGACAGGAGGCCACCTCCTCATCCTCTTCTGACATGACACTCAGCACCAGGATCTTAAGGATACATGCTTTCAAAGGCTTGAAAGAATGATACCAAAGATCTTGAACGTTCCTGAAACTACCACATTTTCACATTGAGTTTTGTTTGAATGCTTTTCTGTATGCAATTCTGATTCGCCCTTTCTATCAGCCCTCTAAAATAAGGATACGTTTCTGCATGTTTTTCTTATATGAGAAGATACTGAGGCCTACAGGACTTAGGTCACTTATTCAAAGTCACATACACTGGAAGTGGGAGCATCCACTAAGAACCCAGGTCTGACCTTTCCCCTCTGATGTGTCCTCCCATTCTCTTGTTCAGCGGGGCACCCGTCCTCACCACCTATGGTGAACACTGTGCATGGCAAAGTCCTGGGGAAGTATGTCACCCTAGAAGGATTCACACAGCCTGTGGCCGTTTTCCTGGGCGTCCCCTTTGCCAAACCTCCTCTTGGATCCCTGAGGTTTTCTCCACCACAGCCTGCAGAGCTATGGAGCTTCGTGAAGAATGCCACCTCCTACCCTCCCATGTAAGACTCTGGGGTGGGCCTGGGCTTCCTTCATTATATCCAGCATCACAGTATAATTATCCAGTTTTATATTTGTGGTGATTAGGTTGTTTTTACAAATTTGGCATTATATATCATTATTATGAAAGTGTTATAAATAAATTATTATATGCATTCATGAGTATTTTGGGATACGTTTTAAGAAATGACATTATTGAATCAAAAACAATGAATTTTTTTAAATTCAGAAATAGTTCAACTATATACACTTTGTAGGAAAACATGAAAATCTCCATCAGTAGATTTTTGACAATGCTTAGGCTTATTAAGAGAAATTTACTCTGGCTATTTGAGAAATAAAAAATACATTATAGTTGTAGCAATGGCAAATGTAATTTCAATCTTTGCTTTGTGATTAAATACTAGTTAATTTAGCTTTTCCCTCTGTGACATTTAAATTAATATTTTATTTTTATTATACCTCTTGCTCTGGTTGTTTAGGAAAAGCTCCTCAGAATGAAATGTGGGAATCATCTTCATTGCCCCGTTTCTGCCACTCGGTGTCTATGATATCTTGACACCTGAGAGCCCCCAATTGCTTCTTCTCCAACCTGGGGGCAGTGGAACTGCCTGGGTCCATTGAGATCTGGGAACATTGCTTATAATGTACTTGGAATATAAGCACTGCATGGCATGGATCTTCAAGGAGGTGAGATGTTGCCTGGGTGCTAAGACCACCGTGTGCCTTTTTTTTTTCTCATCTATGAAATGAAGATAAAGGTGCAACCCATGCCTGGAGTTAATCTGAGGCATAAATGAGTGAGCATACGGGGAGGATGTAAGTCAGTGCCTGGCTCACTGGAGCATCTCAATACTGTTACTGATTTGAATCTATGATGGATCTTTGAGACCTTGTATAAGGGCAGCCATCAGTGAGTGATTGCTTCAGTAGATGGTGGTAGAACTTTATCAGGCCAGAACTTCAAGGTCCTTATAGATAGCATTCTTCTCACTTAGAACTGGCAAACTGGAGCCCGCAGCAGCAATGACAATCACCTAAAGTCACAGCACATCAATGTGTAAAGAGCTAGAATATAGTTCTCCTGAAGTTACTGATGAAACACTGGTCAGCATCTATGTCTTCCATTTAAAAGAGTTTTCCAAGTTGATGGTTGTCTTCCAAGGTCTAGAGCATGTTTACCTGGTAGAGGAACTTAGTCTCCCATGCAGCCCATTGTACAAAGCCCAGCAGATGGCAGGACTCTGTCTAGGAAGTTCAGAGAGTGTCATCTCCCAAGGCAGGCCAGCATATGTGCATCTCTCTCCTTAGCCAGGAAGACCTACGATTCTGGGAAGGGTGCCAAATCCTTCTTCTTCAGGAGTGGGATACTACATCCCCAAGTTTCCCACCTGGACCCCAAGGTGTTCTCCACTTCAGTGTCTCAACATGGTAATGGCAATGATGTTCCAGCTTGCATGTGGTTGAACCTCAGGTGCTCTCTTTCCCCGCCCCCCCAGGTGCTCCCAAGACCCAGTGTCAGGGCAGATAGTCAATGACCTGCTAACCAACCGAAAGGAGAACATTCCTCTCAAATTTTCTGAAGACTGTCTCTGCCTAAATATTTACAGTCCTACTGATCTGACAAAGAGAAGCAGGCTGCCAGTAAGTATTGAGGACCACTGACTGAGACTTGTGAGTTCCAGTGTCAGGGATCTTCTGTGCAGGCTGGAAGGGGATGAAGGCATCTAGGGGCAGGTGCACCACAGGCCAGGAATGATTGAAAGGCCCAAAGCTAGCTTCCTTTTACTATAGAAGATACTTTTCCTTCTGCTTTCCTCTGGGACATCAGGGGTGATGCCTGCCTTCTATGTCCATTTAGAGAGCAGGAAACACTGCTTATAATATACTTGGAACAATAAGCACTGCATTGCATGGGTATGCGACACTGAGTAGGCTCTCTAACTTCCCTGTGCCTTTGTTTTCTTATCTATTAAATGGGTATCTGTGGTAGATGGCTTTACGGCTGGAATATTAACTTCCCAGGTATTCTTACACAAATAGAAAGGAAGAACGATTAGATAGACTGTTACCAGTCAGGGACTAGAGGTCACTTGTTCTATGAGCTGTGGATCAGCGAGAAGAGGGCCTTCCAGGCCTGGTCCTCAGCTGCTTTGACAGTAGCTGGGATCTTGTAGTGTTGCAGCTTTTGGGAAGATTGGGGCACCAGGACCCTTATCTCTCTGGTGACAAATGTTACAGTTCTTTTGTAGACCCAGGAAGTCAGGATTCCCTTGCCCTTGAATCAGCTAGTATTGGAGATTCCAAGTCTAGGTGTTAGGATTTCTTAGCTTTTAATAGCTTTGGCTAGTGCTACACCACCAGGACCTTGGGTTTCTGAGACCCTGCATCCTTAAATTTGGCAGTTCTCTTGAACTCTTCCAACATCCAGAGTCCATCCTTTCTCTTCTTTGGCTCTTTACAGCCTCGATCCATGCAGCAGCCGCAGATCTCTGCCCTGTCTCTTCTGCCGTTTATCTTGTTGCTCTCTTGCTGTTCTCTGGGGCATTCTAGCTGCCTCTCACTGTTACAGCCACTGTCGTGGATGCCATGCTGGGGGACTGCTATGGCTGCTTTTTGCTATTACTGGTGCATCTCCAGCTGTCATTGCTGATGTCAAGGCCTCTTCTGCTGCTGTGCTGCTGCACATGTCACCTTTGCCCTCCAGCCGAAAACACTGTACTGATGCTCCACTGCAGTGACCCCCACCTGCTCTGGTCCCAAGGCTGCCACTGCTGTGGCTGCCAGACATTCCTGTGGCTTTGATGTTGTTGGTCCACTGTTGCTGTGACTGTTCCTTCCCTTACCTGCTCGGCCTACTTTCCTAAGGGTGGATAGCAAAAGTAAGCAAGAGAGATCACAGTGTAGGTCAGTGGTAGAGTACATGCTTGGTATGCTCAAGGACTTGAGTTTTACCCTCTATACCTGAAGAAGAAAAAGAATGGGCAAGAAAAAGACCGTTCAAGAGGAACCTTTGGCTCACACCAGTAATCTCAGTACTCAGTAGCCTGAAACAGGTGGATTTTGATAAGTTTGAGGCCAGATTGGGCTACATAGCAAGTATCAGACCAGACAGGGATACATAACAAGACCCTGTGTTAAAAACTGACACCTAGATAAAGAAAGACACAGAGAAAGAACTTTTGGTCGCCTAATTTTGCAACACGCAGTGGGGCAGCACAGGGTGTAGGTGAGGAAGTTAACTGACTTGGTCATTCATTCCTTCATCCTTCTGTTGTTCACTAAGTGTCACCATACACACAGGCAAACTTGAAGGGAGGTCAGTGAATGAGGAACATGAGCCAGTCATACAGAGTCTGTGTCAAGGACCTTGCCATCTGGGATGCACAGACATATCATTAGCTCTTCACCCTGCCATCGCCCACCTTCATGTCAAGACGATCTTGACTTAATCCCTTCTTGAAGGTGGCATAGGTGGAGAAACAGAGTCTCTGAGAGCATGGAGGCAGGAGACCTTTCAGCTATAGCACAAGTCCTAGAGCCACAGGGTGTGGGCTTATATCCTGGGTCTGCCATAGATTAGATGAGAGACCAGGGCCATTTTGTATGCTTTTGGTCCATTTTCTCAAAATTGGCTCATCCTGTGAGAGCGTTCGGAAGGGACTGTGAGACTGTTCTTCTCAGAGAACACCATGCCTGCTGTTCCTGTCTGAGCACATACAGCAGCAGTGCTGAGACCGAATCAGGGCTGCAGGAGGGTCTGACCCCTGCAACGAATTTATCTCATGGATTATTTCAAGTGCTTAGAATAGCGCTTCCTTCTTAATTTGTCATATGAGTTCTTTATTTCTATTAGCAATATTAGGAAATATTACCTTTTAATCTTTTCAGCTCTTCTTTGAAACCTGAGGTCTTTAAATCCAAGAACCATGAATTAGAAGTTTTGTTGTATCCCTCTCGTCCTCAAGTCTTACCATACTCTCTGGTTGGTGGTAGGCTTTCATTCAAGTGGCTCAGAACTTTCTGTGGAGGTGGACAGTAGCTGACCCAAGCAGGGTTAAAGGATTTGAGCATACAGAGGAGGTAGAGGGGAGGCCTCATAGGAAGGGGCAGGATTAGGGATGTGTGAGTCTTGAGATAATCTCCCAGGCATATTAGAGTTAATAGAGGTGAAGCTAATCACCACCCTTTGTTTATGTCCAACTGTTTGAATGGTCCAGACACAAGAGGGTAGAACACTGGGGAGAACATACACCCTTAGCATGATTGCTCTCAAGATGAACTTTCAGTTGAAAGAGACTTGGGAAAACAGGGCACATGTCTAAGGAAAAGATGGAGGGCATTGAGTGGGATGACATCCTGGGTCCCAGTCAAGGGTGTTGGGAAGGAGAGAGACTGACTGTTGCAGCCTCTGTGGGCACTGGTGTGACTTGAATGATGCCTTCCTTGAGTCACAGTCTAGATACCAGCAACCAAACCAGACAACCCCTGTTGTCTTCTCAAGTCAGCATCCTGTAATCCGTGCTACTGTGTCCTTGTCCAAGTGATGGTGTGGATCCATGGCGGTGGACTGGTGTTGGGCGGGGCGTCAACCTATGATAGACTGGCCCTCTCTGCCCATGAAAATGTGGTGGTGACCATTCAGTACCGGCTCGGCATCTGGGGATTCTTCAGGTAGGGTTTTGGATTCTCTTTTATGAATACTAACCACTACATTAGTCTCTTTCATTTATAGTAATGCCAGATCTTGGGAATTTTACAAGCGAAAGAATATTTAGTTCAGAATTTGGAGGGTCAAACATCCAAGATGGGGCTATTTTTTTCTCTTAGTGGTCTGGGGAGTGGCCCTTAGTCGAGATCAACATGGTAGAGGGATAGAAATGGAATCTGTAGCATACAGAAGAGATCATATGGTGATACAGGCAATGGAGGAGAAGCTGAGGAGTCTCACTCTTTTATAACAATTCACTCACTGGGGAACCAGCCTAGGTCCCATAAATTGACACTAATCCCTTCTGAGGGCAGTACACCCAGTGACCTAATATCCTCCCATTGGGGGTCACCATTAACAAGTTCCATCACTGCATAATCCTTATACATTAGCATATTCAAATGTAATATCTGCCAAGTCAAAGATGCCCCAGTGTTGTCATTCCTCTGGAGACCTTTGCTAGGTTCCTTCACAATGCATCCAGTCCCTTATCAATGGGCCCCATTTGTCTACTAAACTCCCAGATGTACTTGTCCACTTGCTTCTGAGTTTGTGTGTATACTAATTTTTCTGCTATTCCGGGCACATAGAACAGCTACTTTAAACCATAAGCTTTCCGGGGTGGTCACTGTGCTCTGGGGGATGGATTGAGTCATGCCATGCTTCTGTTGTTCCATGCAGAGAGAACAGCACAAAACTCATCCTTTTACTCCATAACCCTGTGTGGGTGATGTCTACTCCATCTTCCTGTTTGCTCAGCACCATGGCCTTGTGGGCATCCCAGACTTCTCTTTTTCTTGTGCTCCACACCCAATCACTCAGCAAGTCCTCTTCTCTCCATCTTCAAAACAAACTCCAAATCCATTGACTTCTCAACTACTCTGATCAAAGCCTTATGTTTTAGGACCGGATTATTATTATAACCACCAGTTTTCAAACATGTGCTATATTTAAGCTGTGTGTCTTCCACAGAGTGGTCAGAGTGCTGTGAGAGACGTAGGCTGAATCATATCTTGCTTCTGTAGATGGTTCCTGCATACTTACAATGACCTGAAGTCCTCCCCAAGGTTCACTGCACCTTCTCTATCTGCATCTCACCTACCTCTACTCACTTTTTCATTCCCATGGCCCTGAGGAATTTGCACCTGTTACTTCTAACAGCAATAACATTTTATGATTTTATAATATTATAAGCACACATACTCATTTTTTATTGGTCTCCAGTAACTGCCCCTGCCTTGAAGAAGCCTTCCTTCATTATGCAATTTGAAATCCCACCCCATAACCTACAACCACGTATCTTTTGTAACCCAGTTTTATTTTTCTTCAATGCACTTCCATTGCTTGGTAATATAGTCTTTCACACATGCTTCTCATGGTCTGCAGTAGGAACTGAATAGTCAGTTTGTCTTGTTTGTTTGAAGATGAACTCTAGCTCCTTGGCTAGCATTAGTTGCTAGAAAATAAGTGCACAGCCCCATAGAGAGCATTGCTATAGAGATGAAAGGCAGGCAGACAGGGATGAATGTCAGAGACATAGAGCTCTGTCTTATTACAGAAAGCTCACCCAGCGCCCCAGCACATCTCTAGCCTTGACCTGAGAACTCAGCCATGACACCTCTGCCTGGACCTTCTGTTGTCTTACAGCACAGGAGATGAACATAGCCTGGGAAACTGGGGTCACTTGGACCAGGTGGCCGCATTGCGCTGGGTGCAGGACAACATTGCCAACTTTGGAGGGGACCCAGGATCAGTGACCATCTTTGGAGAGTCAGCAGGAGGTGAAAGTGTCTCTGTCCTTGTAAGTGTTCCTAGGAACAGACCTCATAGCCAGGCTTGATGTAGCTGCAGTTGGGACCTCGTGGAGACCAGCCAGTCCAATCACAGGCGCTTTGCTTTCTGTACCTAGATACAGGTTGACTCCATTTACTCAGCATTGGATGGTGAAAGTCTGATACCAAACTCCCTTTTGCTGTTGGAATCTCAGAACTCACAACAAATGCCAGTGGTAGATGGAACCATGCCATTTTCTCTTCCCACCTAACTGGATTCTTTTTCTCTCTTTCTTTTTCATTTTTGATTGATTGTTTTTGTGTATTTCATATAGAACATCTCCAAACTTAATCATCTTTATACCCCCATACACACTGGCACCCTCCCGTAGCGCCCCCCGACTGGAGCCCATTCACTCTTTTATCCCTGTTACTGCCCGCTGTGTTGTCAGTGCCCCCAGCCATTCCTCAGTACAAGTCCATCAGCTGAGTCTAGTCAGCCTATCTAGAGTCCCTTGTTTTAGAAGATCAGCTCTTCTTCATCTAGCAGCAGTCAGTTGCCAACATTCCTTTAGATAAGATTGGGGTCTGCTATTCATCATCCCAGTTCTATGCTGGGTTACTGTCTGCCTGAGTTTGCATGGGACTTGTGTATACTTACACCTATGCCATAGAATCATAGGAGAAACAAAGGTCATAAACGGCCAAAGTGTAGAGCGCAAGAGTCTGCTAAATAATGGTCTTTGGACAGAACCACTTTATTAAACTTCACGCACCCAAGGCTCAGGGACCATCATGGAAGAGGAGGAGGAAAGATTGTAAGAGCCAGGGAGAGTGTTCATGACCTATGGAAACAGAGTACTACAAGCTCTTGGGAAACTGCTTATATGATTCTTTTTCTCTTTAATAATCATTTCAATATTAGGAGTCACTTCTTTTGAGAATTAGTGGTGAGTATGGGATCTTCCTGGTGTGGAGAGAGGTGAGGGGAACCTGTAGAAACTTGAAGAAAGCCCTCCAGCTTCCTCAGAGTACTACCCCATCACCATCATTTTCAAACGTGTTCACTAACTGGATATTCAGAGGGAAACGTTTTTCTCTTAAAGTAGAGATTAAAAATTAGAAAGAAATTCAAAGAGGATGTGGCACTGTGGCCATTATGACATATATTTCTGTAAATCTTCCTAATCTATCTATCAATTTATCCATCTGTGTTTGTATATATTACCTATTCTCTCTGTCATCTATCATCACTCCATTGAGCCTCTCTCTCTCTCTCTCTCTCTCTCTCTCTCTCTCTCTCTCTCTCTCTCTCTCTCTCTCTCTCCCTCTCTGTCTCATTTATTTTGTGTGGATTTATTTTTCAGCTTTCCAAATTCAGTTCAGTTCTTCCAGGATTTTCCATATATGACAATGATATAGATTTATAGCTTCTGTCTTCATTTTTAATTCTATAAATGCAAAAATTGAATTAACTTGAACATCTACACTCAGTAGTAGGATACTTTAGCACATAGGATTATTTTTTTCATTAACTCAAATGTTTTGGTGCTAGGAAATGAATCCAAGATTTCATGCCCGCTAGCCTCTTGATGAGATACATAAATATTACAAATTAACTCGATTTATACAAGAAAAAATCATTGCAGTTCATTTACTTCCATTCATTTTTTTCACAAGATCTTTAAATACATTTACGACTCTCCTTTTAATTTTTCATTTTCTATTTATTTATTATGCATATGAGTGTAATGCCTGTGTGCATGTAGGTGCGCCTGTGTCGTGCCATGTCTGTGGAGGTCAGAAGAGGGAATCAGATCCCCTGGGACTGGAGTTACAGACAGTTGTTAGCTGCCATGTGGGTGCTGGGAATTGACCTTGAGTCCTCTGCAAGAGCACTCAGTGTTCTTAACCAGTGAGCCATATCTCCAGCCTCCAATTTTTCATTTTCTTGATGAACACAGTTCTTCAGTTTTGTAGTTTTTTCCCATAATACATAGACTTAATACTTACCATTTAATAAATTTAATTCCTTCATATATTGTTTGCAGTGTGATAATAAATTGGAATGTTTTAATGAAAAAAATTAATGTATTTTATATATTTGCATGCATATTGATTTTGTAATATTTTAGGGCTCCTGAAGAAGAGAAAATGACATCAAATATTTGTTGCTTTCTATTTTTATTTCCTGGTCTCATGGGGTACAAAGAGATATCTCAAGGGTTCTTTTTTTGTATTTGCCTAAGGTTTATTTTTGGCCTATAATGTGATCAGTTTGGGAGAAGGTTCCATGTGCTTCTGAGAAGAACGTGTTTCACACTCTGTTGGGAAGAATATTCTGTATATCTCTGTTAAGTTCAGTTGATCCATGGAATCTTTTAACTCTGAAATTCCTTTGCTTATTTTTTGTTTGATGTTGAAGTCCTCCATTGTTATTGTGACAGGGTCTATGTGGCCTTTACAACTTTTAGTGCTTTTTTTTATTAAATTAGTGACTCCAATATACAGTGCATCAATGGTTAGAATTGTTGTGTCTTCTTGACTGATTCTTCCCTTTATTGCGTTTGGTTTGAAGTCTGCTTTATGAGGTATAAGGGTAGCTCTGCCTGCTTGTTTACAGCTCCCATTTGCTAGTTTGCTTCCCATCCCTTGATACCCAGTATGGAGATGTCTTGCATAGTTAACTTTTCAAGACAATCTGGAAGTTTTTAAAATTTTTATTCCAGTCCATTCATCTGCATCATTTAAGTGAGGGAATTGAGGCCATTTACATTCAAGTTTATTATAGAGAGGGGTTTGCTATTTCCTGTGAATTTGGTAGGGGGATGTTATGTTTTGTTGGACTGTTGGCATTATTTTTCCTTCTGTCATATTAGTTTTGGGAGTTTCCTGGCTTGCCGTGTTGGACATGATTGTTTCTTTCACAGCTCTACTTTGTTCATCATGTTCCTTTTATGGAGCACATATTGTCACATGTTCTCACGAAGCAGGCTACCTTTCTTCTTCCTCCTTCTATAGTATTCCCTTAAGAATTATCTGTAGTTGCTGGCTTGGTTGTCGTGAATTGCCTTGATTTGTGTTTGTCTAGAAACATCCTTATTTTTCGGTCAATGTTGAAAGATAACTTTGCTTTATAGCATTCCTGGTTCACAATTTTTTACTCTCAGGGTTAGAAACATTTCATTCCATACCTTTTCTGACTCCTGTGGTTGATTTTGAAAGCTCTCATATTATTCTTATATCCCCACCTTTGTGAGCATTGATTTCAGTATTTTTCTTTATTTTGTAATTTTTGACATCTTGACTATGATGTATTGTAGAAACCCCCTCCCCTGGTCAAGTCTATTTGAAGTTCTAAACACCTCTTATATTTGAATATTCGCTTCATTTTCCAGGTTTGGGACATTTTCTGTTATAATTTAATTAAACAGTTTGTATAGTCCGTTTGAGTCTCTGATTCTTCTATACCATGAATTCTCAGATTTGTCTCTTGTATGTATCTCAGACTTCTTGGAAATGCTGTTCATGATCCTTTATCTTTCACCTTATATATGTCTATCTGTATTATTGTCTCCATTGTTTCTCCATCCCTGAAATTTATTCTTCTGCATGGTCTTGTCTCTTGATGTTGTTTTCTGATGTGCTTTTTATTTGAATGTACATTTCTTTCATTTTAAATATTTCTGTTCATCTTTTTTCAAAGTTTAAATTCCCTTGCTGAATTTTCCTTCTCCAGTTTGCTGACTACTTTGTTCACTTCAGAGGCTGGCCTCTTGAGGGATTGTATAGTTTTCTTTAGTTGGTGCATGTGTTTGAATCTTCTATATGATCATTGATCCTTTTAAAAAGACTATGGATTCTTCCACAAACATTTCATCTATCTCTGAGTTTTAGATTCCATTGTAGGGAAGTTGGCTGGTTGACAATAGGTCATGGGTGGTAGCTGTGTCACAATCTTTGTGTTTCTTTTTCCTGTTGTGCACATCTAGTGGAGTGGGTTTGTCTTTGAGTTTTTACATCTTCTTTCGGCTTTATCTGGATGTTTGGTTTACTATAACTCTTCCTAGAGGAATGTCTGAATGAAATTCAGTTTTGGGACAAGTGAAACTTGCCGCTGATTGTCAGATGCAGCCGCTGAGGTGATCTCACCTTGGCTAGGTGTCAGCATGTCCACAGGTGACGCTGCATGTTGATCTTCAAGGTGACCAGATGGAGTCAAAGCCCTGGTCACACTCTGTGTTCTGTGATCCCACTGGGAGCAGGAGACCAAACCACTGGTCCCACTGAAATCTATGAGTCTCTGACCAATTCTATGTTTTTAAACACTCCTCCTCTCCTCTCCTCTCCACTCCCAGGTGTTGTCTCCTCTGGCCAAGAACCTCTTCCACAGGGCCGTTTCTGAGAGTGGTGTGGCCCTCACTGCTGGCCTGGTCAAGAAGGACACCAGGTCCTTGGCTGAGGTAGGACCCACCTTGTACAGCTCCTGTGCCCTTTCCCACGATCTCTTCAGGAATATTTCGTGCTATGGGATGCAGCTGAGATGTTCAATGAATCCATGAAATGAGAATGGCTGAGCAGAAGGGTTTCTTTAGGGCTCACATCTCAACCACATTCTACAAGTTCTGAGGTGCCTTTGTGTAACTCATATTATTCAGACACCTTGCAATTCAGTACAAGTTTTGGTGTGGGAACAAAAGTTACCTCCTATGCAAATGACAAGGATTAGTTCTCCTTATACAATGGGTGAAACAATCATTCTCACCCGTAGGTGGTGAAACTGAAGGACAAGTGGTCAGACTATAGAGAAGGTGTCTACAACAGATAGAACTCTGGGTTCCTGCTCTTCATCCCACTGCACATGGCTTCTCTTGAGACAATCCGCTTAGACAACACTATGGTCACTTAACAGACTATAAAGCAATACAGACTTTAATATTTAAATGATCCATGTCCCAATTCAAATTAGTAAAACACTGTGGGCCCCAGAACCCATTCCTGTTTATGTAAAAGATTTTTGACAACCATGTACTAGTGTTTGAAAATGAATGTTGGATAGAATCTCTGTTCTATATTGAAAGAGGATAGAGGTATTACTCTTGACCTCTACTGTTGCCTATGACCTCTTGCAGAAAATTGCTGTCACTTCTGGATGTAAAATCACCACATCAGCTGCCATGGTTCACTGCCTGCGTCACAAGACAGAGAGGGAGCGCTTGGAGACCACGCTGAAACTGGTAAATGACCTATCCTACTGCCCCCACCCTGGGCACTTGGTCACAGGCCTCATCTCTTCAGTTTTCCAGTGGTCTTGGGAAAACTGTCTGGGATGTTTTCTCATCGCTCAGGAACGGTGTAATCCTGACCTTATTAGATTTTTTTGAAAAACCTCAATGTCATAAAAAGTTCAATACAAATATGATGAAAAATTACATTATAATCCTGTAGTTCTTTATAATAATTTGCCATTATTATTTTCAAATGTATTTGAGTACATTATTAAGCACAAAATTATTTTGAAAGGATTTATAACTTGTTTTTGTTGATTTAGGAACTATCAATTATTTTTAATATTTTTTAAATTTGTTATTTTTATTTTATGTGTATGAGTGTATGCTACTACCTAGTTTTCTATATTTTCTGGAATGCCACTTCAGTTACGATTCAAGGATAATAATCCATCCGCCCATTCACTCATCTTTCATCTATTCATTCTTCTACCCAATCCATTGGAATCAACTCATTAATTCAGTATAGATCCATCTCTAACTTTTCACCGAGTCTATAATCTACAAGTCAACAAAGCAGCATATACATTTTCACCCAATAGTTTGAGCAATTATCCATGAATACTTTCAACTCACCAATAGTGCATATATTGACCAACTCCATCCATGAAACCAAGATAATTTTGTAGAAGTATGTTGTCAGGTTAGGAAATGCAGAAATAAACTGAAGATATTTCCTCCTTACAAGAATAATCCAAGGAGAAATAGAACTATGTGTTTCATGTTAGGCATAGTGGGTGTTCAGAGAGGAGACACATTCATTACAACCAGCAGAAAAGGTCTTTTATTAGGAATGATTGATGTTCTTGGTAGTTTGTTATCACAGGGAACCTCACAGGACAAAAATCTGGGATGAAGGAGGATACAGAACATGGGAACTATCCCCTTTTTAAAGACAGATATGAGTGTGATCTCAGGACTCAGCTGAGGGCCTGCCTGGTCTCTTCATCTGGACGTTGCACAAGAGGAGACTTCTGGATCCCACAGAAGACCTCTATCACTGTATTCTTCCAGTATGTCCATGAGATGACTGAGGTTTTCTAAGAGTTAAGACCCAGCTGTTCCTCTTTGTATTCTTGTTACAGAATCTCCCTATGTAGCCTAGGCCCACTTCAAACTCTAAGTTGTCCTGTTTCAGCCTCTTTAGTGTTGGGGTTACGGGTGTGCACCTCAACATCTGTTTCACATCTGTTTTTGAATATCTGGAAGAAGGAAAATATTTTATCCATCATAGAAGTGCCCATTTTATACAGGAATATTTGATGCCTTTGGGAAAGCCCAAAGAACCAACAATCCAAATACATACTTAAGAGTTTCCGAGTCCTTGTGGATGTGCTTCCATGTTTATTCACTGACCGGAGGGAGGGAGGCAGAGAGAAACGGGGAGAGCATACCTTTTAGCGGGGGAGGCTAAAAGCCCTAGTGAAGGGATTCTAGTTTTTGCTTTCCATGTATAGGTCGTAATTATTAGCTAAGGGTAGCATTGTCATCAATCCAAACATGGTGAATCTACACCAAAGAGAGGCATAGATGAGAATGGTTTTCAGCAAGCAAAGGCATTAGAGCTTTCTGACAAGGTAAGAGCACTCATTTCAAGGATCCTTGAACATAAAAAGGAAGGTATTGTAACAGAATCTCCAGATAACTGAGCCGTTCTGGAGTAGAGGGCTCAGGACGTGGCTAGGTCCAGATGCTCTGAAGGCATTTAGAATTTACCAGTCCCTATCCCTCCATTTCCCACTGTGGTTAGCTAACTCCTCTGTGCAGATTTGTTCCCTGGGAAGGTGAAAGACAGCAGCACTCAAGATTTATATATTTAGAAATAAACGTTTCCCAAAATTTTATCAATATGTTGGATATAAAATCTGTATCTTGCAGGTATCTTTGAACTAGTCTTTATGTTCAGGGGTGTGGTGATCTCATGCCACACGTATTTGGTAAAACTCATGAAGTCAGAATAAGGAAGAGGGAAATGGGGCTTAGGGGAGTGTTTTCTCCTAATCCAGCCCACCTCAGCCCCATATCCCATCAAGCCACCAAATCTCCACCGCCACAATCATCTGTTTTCACAGCTCTCACAGAGGAAAATTGGGGCGTTGTTGCCAGAGGGAACAAGCTGTGGGAGAGATGACTGGAAGGACAGACACAGACAGCAGCTGTCCTCTCCAGGGCTCCAAAAATCCTGACTCTAGGTCCCACGGCCTCTCTCCTTGATGCCTCCCTCATCTTACTCAGGGCTGTACCAATTCACAGAGGAGACTGTGTAGGAAGGAGTCTGGAGGGACAACCCAGTAACTCTGTGCACAGCTCAAGGGATCAGCTCTGTATAGGGGAGGCTTTATAATACGTCCTTTGCCTTTGTCTTCACAGAATCTTTTTAAGCTGGATTTACATGGAGATCCCAGAGAGGTAAGTACTTTCCTTTCTGGGTTATAGTAACAGTGTTTAACGCCTATTAACTATAATTTAATAATTCTGTGGAATCATAGTCATTCCTGTGTGTGCACTGCTGAGGCCCAGAGAGGGGAAGTTACTAATTTCTTTGCCAGTTTACACTGACAAGAGAGTCAAAGGCCAGAATTGAACCTACCCGTGTGCAGTGCTGACTCCAAGAACAGTGCTCCTGGTCAGGAGGAGCTCTGTCTCCTGGGATAATCTCCTTTGTTTCATGTATATTTCTTGATCTCAAAATAACCCTGTTAGAGGAGGCTTCTAAGTAGGACTTTCCTCTCCCAGAACCCAGATGGGGCCTCCATTGTCACCCCCCTTCTGACTTTCTGTTGGCCAGCACTTGTCAGTTACTACAGTTCTGTATTCTCTGTTCCTCCCTGGGGACCCCAGAGCTTCCTTTAAATGTCTTATGAGGTTGAAATGAGATGTTTTCAGCCATTCATCAATAATTTAAAAGGGACTCACTGTGTAGCAGGGTCTGATTTAGCAGCTTAAATATGGCAGTGAAGTGTATATGAGCTTCTGCCTTCTTGGGCACTTCTGTCTTAGTAGTGGAGGAGTGTAGTAGAAGAAAAATAATATATGCAATGTTTGCTGTCAATGGGAGTTAAATAAAAAAACCGGAAGATGGGAGAGAATCTTGACCAGCTGTTTTCTGTAAACAGCAGGGTCAAGGGACATATCTTGAAGTGTTGGTGGCATCAGAGTCAAGCTCTGGAATAAAGAAGGAAGACAGCTTTTAGGAGACCTGCAGGCAGAGAGAAGAGCAGCTGCAGGGGCCTGCTGCAGGAAGCCAGTATGCAGGAGTGGAGGCAGTGAGGAAGGGGCAAGCTTGAGGCTGAGCAGGTCATAGAGATGGGCATGTACACACAACTGGTGGGACTATGATCCAACATGAAATGGGGATGTTCAGAGTGTTATGAGCAGAACAGTGACATGATGAATTTACAAATATCTCCTCAACTGCATTGTGGAAATAGACTGGGGATGGGGCAGGGCAGGTGCTGAGACCAGCTGGGAGGTCAATTGATGGACATCTGGGTTGTTTCTGTTTTCTATCTATTGTGAATAATGCAGCAATAAGCATGGATGATGAGCTGTGAGATTTTTAATAACTACTTTTATATCATTGATTGCTATGGGTCTATTAAATTTATTTACTTCATCTTGGTTTAACTTTGGTAGGCTGTATATATATAGAAATTCATCTTTTTCTTTTAGGTTTTTCAGTTTAGTGAAGTAAAGATTTTAAAATATGCCCTATGGTTCTTAATTTTTTAGGGTCTGTTGCAACGTTTTTCTTTTTCATCTGACTTCTTTCATTTTGGTCCCCTCTCTCTTTTCTTTAAAGTAGTTAAAGGTTTGTCAATCTTGTTAATCTTTTCAAGGAATAAGTTCTTCTTTTCATTGATTCATTGTATTGATTTTTTTCCTTTTCTATTAACTTTAGCCCTGATTTTTTATATCTTCTGGTCTACTCTTTGTAGGTGTTATCTGCTCTTGTTTTTTTCCAACATTTCAGGTGCATCATTAACTTATTAATATGAGGTGTCTCTAACTTTCTGTTGTAGGCACTTAGTGCTATAAACTTTCTTCCTAGGCCTGCTCTTATTGTGTTCCATAGATCTTGGTATGCTTTCAATTTCTTTCAGTTCTAGGAATTTTTTAATTGCCTTTGATTTCTCCCCGATCTTATTTTAATGCAGTAGTGTGTTGTTTACTTTAATGAATGTGCATACTTTTACCTATTTTTATTGTTGCTGATATCCAGATTTATTCCTTTGTATTCAGATAGAACACATAATGTTATTCCAGTTTTCCTAAATTTGTGAAGACTTGCTCTGTGTCCTAATATGTGATCAGTTTTGGAGAAAGGACCATAGGCTGCTGAGAAGAAAACGTATTCTTTAGTGTTCGGATGAAATGTTCTGTAACTGTCTCTTAGATCCATTTGATTTACGATGCCATTTAACTCCAGGGTTTCTAAATGTCTCTTAGACACATTTGATTTATGATGCCATTACCTCCAGGTTTTCTCTATTTAGTTTTTGTCTGAATGATCTGTCTATTGGTGAGAGTGGAGTATTGAAGTCATTCATGATCATTGTGTTGGGGTCAATCTGTGATTTTAGATCTAATGGTGTTTCTTTCATGAAATTGGGTGCCCCGTGCTTGTACCTTCATTGTTAGGATTATAATATCTTCTTGGATATTTTTCCTTTGATATCCAAGACTGGACAGAACAACAGCTGGAGATTCCCTGTCAGGCAAGTGGCAGGGTTCTAGTGAGTCCTGAAGGGAGGGAGGGGTCAAGATCTCCCTGAAGTTGGAGGAATCCCTGGTGGGGATGGACTGGGATTCCAGGAGTCCAAAGAGAGGCAGAGGAGTCATGAGGAAGTGGAGGTTTCCGTGAAGCAATGGCGGGGCTTTGGGATGACCCATAATAGGGGGATACAGGCAACATACCTGGATCTCACATGAGGGTCCTTAATGTGGAACTGTTTGGCATCTGAAAAATCCCAAAAGGAGGGAAAGGATCAGGAGGAGGTGTCATTCCCTGGCATGCAGGAGTGGAGCTCTGGGGTGACCCAGGTGGAGGGGGACTAGTAGGGTTGCTGGAAGCTTACCTGGGTCTCTGGGCCATACGAGATGACTGGAGAGTTCCCGATGGGGAGCAGTTCAGAATCTGGCCTATTTTATGCCTTTTGATTAGAGAATCAAGACCACTAACAATAAAAGGTATTATTGAGACGTATTAATTCATGCCATTTTGTTGAGTGGATGATATTGTCCTACTCCTCATTTGATTAACTTTTTCTAATGTAGCTCATTCTTTAATGTACCCTGGTAGATGTGTTAATTTTCCTCTTTTCAAAGTGTAGGAATCCTTCAAGCAGCTTCTGTTTTCTGGCCTAGTGGCTGTGACTTCTTTAGTTTTTGTTTATCCTGTAAAGCTTCTTCCTTTCTCTGTGGAGGTGCTTATTGTCTTCCAGGGCTTGGACTACATCATTCCATGCTGTTTAGTTTTTAGGATTTCTGTTAGAAACCTATAATTCTGATGGATTCTCCTTTATCATAGAGCTCTCAGTTCTGCAGAAGGTGAATCAGGGACAAGACAGAGTCCAGCTGTCTTTTGAAAACAAGAGAGAATATTTGGACATTGGTGGAACATCGCCTCCCAGAGTCAAGGGCAGAACACTGCCTTGGAATAGTAAGAATGATAGTGGATGGGCTTGTGTTTCCCTTTCTCACTGAATAGAGCTCTAGGAAAGAGTTTGGTTAGTAACAGAAAAGAAAAACAACATTTTACTCTGAACTTTGCTCGATTTATGTTTTGCACGTTATATTCTTGGCTGACCCTGCTCATTAGATATAAAGAGCCACTCTCAGAATTAAACTTGCCTTTCTCCACCTGAGAGTTGGGTCCTAAGCCCTCACTCATTCATTTTTCCATCCACCAGCAGACCTAAGTTTCTGCACCTGGTGTGGTGCCAAGCTTCTGTAACCCTAGTGCTCAGGGGATGAGGGCAGAGACAAGTATATTCCTGGAGCTCACTGGCAAGCCTGTCATGCCACTCAGTGAGCTCTTGGTTCGATGAGTGACCCTACATCAAAAAATAAGGTATGTTGTGGTAGAGGACGACACTCCATGTCAACTCCTGGCCTCCAAACACATGCACATGCATGCCCATGCATTCTCACACTTACATACATAAGCATATACCACAGACATACACACTCAGAACTTCTATGCAACCAGAATGCTCATTGTTGTGAGCTCCTTTGTACGCTAATTGTATTTATGTTCCTTAGAATATAACCCTTCTAGAAGGTGCATGCCTTTAATCCCAGCACTCCGGAGACAGAGGTAGATGGATCTCTGTGAATTCCAGGCCAGCTGGGGTTATAGGAAGACCCTGTCTCAAAAAGAGGCCTTCTAGAATGTAAAACTTAAGCGAGCACATCACCACCAAGCTGGTGTCCTCCAAACTACAATTTAACTTTGTCCAGGCCTGTGCTCATATGTTCCTTGTTGTGTCAAGTCTATGATCTGTAAGCAAAGATTAGACATGTCCAAAACTTGTACTCCAAAAAGTGCAAAAGGTGCCTAACAATTAAAAGGTGTTAGGGGTCTGGAAAAATGACTCACCACTTAAGAAGAACACATGTTGCTCTTGTAAAGGTCCAAAATGTGGTTCCAACAGCCACATTGGGTGGCTCACAATGGCCTGTACTCCAGCTCCATGGGATCCTAATGTCCTCTTCTGGCTACCATGGGTACCTGTGCTCACATGCACACTCTTCCTTCCTTCCTCCTTCTCTCCCTCCCTCCCCCATACATAATTAAAAATAAAATAAATCTTTTTGAAAAAAGGTATTAGAACTGGAGAGATGGCTCAGCAGTTAAGAGCACTGTCTGCTTTTGCAGAGCATTCAGGTTTGAATCCTAGTACCCACATGGAGGCTAACAACCACCAATAACTTCAGTTCCAAGGGATCTGACACCCTCTTCTGAACTCCACAGGCAATGCATGACATAGGTGTACTTAACATACATACAGGCAATACACTCACACACATAAAAAAATAAGAAAGGTATTAGGTATTGGTTATCTAGGAGGACATCTGGAAATCATCAGTACAATCTACTTCATTTTGAAAACATTTTTGTTATTCTTAAAAGATATCTGCATCGTTTCCCCTGAAATTCTATGGCAAACGGTGGCGAGTTGTTTCGCAGGCTAACCCAAACCTCTCCAAACCAATAGAGAGGTTGCAGTTAACGATTGCTGGTGCGGGGGTCTAAGGGCTACTTTCATTTTATTTGTTTGTTTGTTTGTTTATTTATTTATTTGGTCTTTTTGAGACAGGGTCTCCCAGCTGGCCTGGAACTCATTATGTAGACCAGGCTGGCCTTGAACTCACAGAGATCCACCCACCTCTGCCTCCTGAGTGCTAGGATTAAAGGTGTGTGGTTGAAGTATCACAATTGTCTTGCCTTAGAATTTGAAACACCATGGTTAATTGTAACTCCCTTTGCTCATGGCTTGGTTAATGGTTAATAATACCCTCAGTCAAAGACACCAGGAGTTTTCTTTGCTGATATCGCCTATGATAAGGAGAAAATCCCATTTTACAACTTCAAGAGACCAGCCTGCAGCCAGAAGGCGCCCACATGCACCCACATGCACACGTGCATGCACAAATAAAAGTAGGGTCAAGTGAGTGGCTGAGCAGGTAAAGGCATCTGCTGTCAAACCTGTTTGAGTTCAATCCCCTGTGGAAGGAGAGAACTGACTCCTACAAGTTGTCCTCTGGTCTCCATGGCACAAGCACACACACACACACACACACACACACACACACATGCACACCCAATAAGCACCCATATCAAGCGGCTCATAACTGCCTGTAACTCTGGCTCCAAGGGATCTGTTGTCCTCTTCTGGTTTCTGAGGGTATCAGCACACACATGGGCTGACTCACACATGCATAAATAACAATAAAAATAAGAACTGGAGAGATGGCTCAGTGATTAAGAGTGTGTACTGGGGTTGCAGAGGAACCATATTTGGTTCCCAGAACCTAAATGGTGACTTACAACCTGTAATTTCAGTTCCACAGGATCACATGTGATACACACACTTACACAAGCAGGCAAAACACTTATATGTATAAAATAAAAATAAATAAAATTTTACAACGAAGATGGGAAGAATAACTATCCCTTTAATGAGATATATATATAAATACCCTAGAAACCCCTCCCTTGATGCAGCTGCTCACAGATTGTCAGAGTTGAACCCACTCCCTTTTCGAGTTCTAACTCAGAAAGTGTAATGTCTCTCTCCCTCTTGTCCAGGTCCCTCCTCCCAGCAGTTGCTGAGATCTGTAGCTTGCCTGTCCTGTTTTTCTCTCAAACTCCAACAAAACTGTCTTCAAGTGCTTTTAAAATTCTTTTCTCTACCGGAGTAAGAACATGCAGAAGGGATCTTGTGACACATTAATTGCTCCTCTTCGGAAAAAGGGACCACGCTGAATAAATCACCTTTCTCTGCTGTGCACTATCACTCCTCTCTGTAATCTGCCTTTTGGGGTGGGTGGCCAAGCCTAGTCTAGGCTTCTACCCGAAAAACTTCGAACACTTCTTCATCCTTCGCCTTTCAGTCGGGATGTCACCTCAGAGGAGCCTTCCCTGAGCAGCCAACCATTTGCTCCAACTAGTCTGCTTTTCAGTTCCTAGCTCTCTTAACAAACTGCAGTGTTATACTGTATTGTGTTTCCCTGGCCAGCCTGAGAACTTCGGCTGTGGGCAGGGATCTTGTCTGCCTTGGAAGTCACCATGCCCCCAGCGCCTCCAGGCACTTGACTGGAGCTCCACCGGGGATGACAAATCTGTTTGTCCTTGAGATAGCCAAGATCAACCACGAGGGCGGGGGAGTGAGCGGAGCTCCCGGGTGACAGCTCCGCCCAGGCCCCGCCCCTGTGCTCGTCCCGTCCTCCCTCCCGGGTCTCCGTAAAGTTCCTTTGGCGGCGCGCGGGGGCTTCTGGGAGCGCCCGACTCGGCCAATCAGAAAGCGCAGGCGAGCTGCGCGAGAAGACGCGGCGTTGTGCAGCCGGGAGCTGTCCTCCGGCTAGTGCAGAGCGAGGTAAGGAGAGCGTGGCGGGCGCCCATGTGGCTTCCGGTCCGGGCCCAGTTGGAAGCGGGACCCCGAGGCTGGCCGGAGTCCGGTCCCTGCTCGCGGAGCCACGTGGCTCCCGCTTCCGTTCAGATGGCAGCCGGCCGCTCTATCGCCGGCCACACTACGCCTTGCGGATCCGGCTGCTGTGACGGGGCTCTAACCAAAAGTGGTTGCCTCCCGGGCTGGCGCCACTCCCCCTCCGGTGTCCTCGCAGGGAACGGTTCTTCCGGGTAAAGGGTGACGACCGGGTGAACGCCTGTCGATGCTTTGTTGACATCCAAGAGGATGCTAATGGTGCTTGCAGCCCGGCCTGGCTCACTTTTCCTTGGATACCCCTCCATCCTTAAGGGTGGTGCCCAATGTATTGAGTCCTTTTGAAGAAAAAAAATTGCCGACATGCTGGTCGTGGTGCCGCTACATAGGAAATTTGAGGCCAGCCTGAGCTATGTGAAACCTTGCCTCACTCCCACTCCCAGAAATGGCTTTCAGTACAAGCACTTGTATTTCGTGTTTCTTTCTGGGGTCATCGTACCCCTAAACCTGTACCAGTACCAGGAGCATTCGTTTATTTTGTATTCTCTGGCATCCTGTTTTTCTACTCAAATGTGCGTTTGTGTTTTTATTCGTGGTGAGCTCCTCCAGCTTTAAATATCAGTGTATTAGGCCACTGAACTACACCCCTGGTTCTCTCTTCATTTTTTGAAAGAATATTATTTTTGCGTATCAGTGTATTGCCTGCATATATGTAAGCGCACCTGTCCTGCAGTGCCGGAGAGCAGAAGAAGGTGTTGAATTCCCCTAGAACTGGAGTTAAGGATGGTTCTTAGCCGCCATGTGGGTGCTGGGAATCTAACCTGGGTCCTCTATAAGAGCAGCCAGTGCTTTTAACCCCTGAGCCATCTCTCCAGCTAGCCCTTCTCCTTGACTTTTATCCAGATACCTACTCAACATCTTCATTGAGATGGTTGATAGTCTACTGAGAGCTAGCATGCTTCCCTCCATGTTTCTTCCCTAAACGATTCCTTGTGTCATTTAAAAATGCTTTTATTTTTGGAGACAGGTTCTCTGCTATGTGGCCCAGGCTTGCCTTAAACTCTAGGTCCTCCGGCCTCAGCTTCCTGAATGCTGGGATTACAGGTATGTAAAACAAAGTCTAGCAATGTTGTCTTCTGCTGCCTCCCCTGCCCCCAGCTCACCATTTCTCTTCCTCCTCCTCTTTTTCTTGTGCCTGGCAATGAACCCAGACTTTGCTAGACAAATACTATACCACTGAGCTATACACCCCTGGTCTCCCCTACCATTCTTCTACCCTTTAGTAGTGATAAAGTGTCTGGCCAATAACCTTTGAGTCATTATTAACTGCTCCCTACCTCAGTCAGCATCCAGTACTTGCCACCTTGGGCCATGTCACTATCACATCTCATGTGCTTTGTTGAAGTATCTTCTCACTGGGGCTTCCTGCTTCTGCCCTGCTTTTCAGCATGGTAGCTAATAAGGTCATCAACTCATATCCTCCTCTTACTTAGAAAACCCTCCAGAGCTGAATATAGGGGCACATGCTTGTAATCCCAGCACTTAGTTCCGAGGCAGGAGCATCTCAAGCTTGAGGCCAGCCTGGACTATAAGTAAGATCCTGTCTGAAGAACTCCCATACCCCGTAGCCCTCCAGTAGGTTCCCTTCTCATTAATGATACTACAGAGGCTCCTGACAGTGAGCTTTTCATCTAACCCCCATTTTGCTACCCACCCTTCCACTGCTGGACATGCTTTGACTTTGGGGTTTTGTTCTTGCAATTGGGTGTCTGTTTCACTTTCTATCAGTCTTTACTAAGGACCGCCTAGCATGTAAGACTCTTCTCACTCCTGCCTTCACTGTTTTGTTGTTCTTAGCACTTAGGTTTACTTATCCTGAGTGTTGCCTTCCTCCTGTAGAACATGAGTGTCTCCCATCTGGGTCTGGCTCATAGCAGGTGCTCCATAAGTATGAAATGAATGAATCCTATTGGTACCTTTATATGGGGATTTGGTGGTGAATGAGACAGACTTGTTCCTTTGGAAGACACTACAGCAGTAAACACACAAATATAAAATGTAGAATCAGGACTAGTTTTATAGGGCTGGGATGTAGAGAGCATTTGCCTAGCATGAGGCAGGCTCTGGGTTTGATTGCTATCACTGGAG